GGAAGAAGGAGATCTTTAGAGAGAAAGCACCTTTCCTGCAGGAATCTGGCGCCTCACCTGAAAGTGACTGCAAAGAGACGATCAAATAAAAATAACCAAAGGCAGTTGAAAGGAGCAAAGACGGAGGCATCGAGACACATCAAAAGGAGAGGCGCTTTGTGTTCCAAATTCCCATCATGAATGGAAAGAGAGAGCAAGGCCTAAGGGGTTGCACACCTGTGCTGAGACAGACTGGAGGGAAGGGGGAGAAGGCAAAAATGCAGGAGAGGTGTTGGGGGAGAGACACACCTATCCAAACTTTTCTGCTACTTGGCATTGCTGCTGGTTCGGTGAACACTGAGGAATTGATGTATTCAGGCACCCAGCTAAAAGGGATGCTCCCTGGGACAAACTTCTCAACCATATATACAGAGGTTTGTTGTTGTTGTGTGCCTTCAAGTGTTTCCGACGTATGGCGACCCTAAAGCAAACCTATCATATTGTTTTCTTGGCAAGTTTCTTCAGAAGGGGACTGCCATTGCCATCCTCTGAGGCTGAGAGAATGTGACTTGCCCAAGTTCACCCAGTCATAGTTTTTTGTGGCTGTGTGGCCATGTTCTAGAAGAGTTTCTTTCTGACGTTTCACCAGCATCTGTGGCTGGCATCTTTAGGGAAATGCTGCGAAACGTCAGAAGGAAACTCTTCTAGAACATGGCCACACAGCCTGAAAAACCCACAAAAAACTACAGATGCCGGCCATGAAAGCCTTCGACTTCACCCAGTCAATTTCTATGGCTGAGCTGGGACTCGAACTCTGGTCTCCCAATGTTCTAGTCCAACACCCAAACCATTGCACCACACTGGCATTACACCAGAGGTGCATGCCCTCAAATTGTCCTGAGAATCTTCTGCCATCCTACTTTTTCAGCTGCTCTTAAAATGTCCCAGTTTCTCTCTTCTTCTTCCACTTTTCCTCTTCCTCCTCAACTTACTTTAACTGCTGCAAACTGAGTTCAAAATGCAACAGAGGGGAGAGAAAAGAAGGCAGACTCTTTGCTTTCCCCATTCAGACTCAAGCAAAAGCAACCTTTCTGCTGTCTCTCCTGGCTTGTGTGTTCTTTCCTGTGACTTTTGCCATCTTCACCACGCTCTGAGGTTGTTTGGCCACACATGTTCTGGTTTCCATCTGTGAAATGCTGAAGGGTATGGTGGTAGGCAGCACTGTTCCTCCAAATTGTTTTGGATCACAGCTCCCATAATACCTCGCCATTGGCAAGGTTAGCAACTAAGACGGTAGGAGTGGTAAGCCAAAAATATCTGGATGGCTGCAGTTGTCCAGTCTTGATACATTCACTGATGGGGTGTGAGTTGGCCAGAAAAGGGATCCTGGGGTTGTGGTGGACATTGAGAATGAAAAGGTCAGCAGGACATGGCAGCAATGAACAGAAGAATCATGCAGCTCTGTGGATACTATTGAACTACAGCTCCTATCATCCCTCACCATTGGCCATCTTAGCCAGGGCTGCTGGAAGGTGCAGTCCAACCACATTTCCCAGACCTGATGTTGGAGGTCTTTAGGAAGAAATGAAAATATAACCATGGCCAATATGGTGTTGTTCCTGCTGTTATTATTATCCTGCTTTCCCCCAAAAATTGGAACTCAAAGCGGCTTACCATTTAAAAAAATACAATTAAAAACATACAAAAGTGAATGTTACAATAGAATAGGATAATAAAATAAAATAATGCGCACACCTATGGCATAATCTCGCTTGAAGCTTGCATACAGTTCTGACCACTGCGTCTCAAAGAGGATATTATCTCCCACTAGGTGAGGATGGTCCGAAACACAAATAATACTGGTTCAAAATTGCAGAAATAATCCAGTGCAAGACCATTTTAACTGCCCTGGCTCCTGTTCTTCCTATGAAGAATTTTTTTGCCATCTTAACAGCACTCGAAGGTTGCATGACTATACGCCTCTGGATTGTCATCTGCGAAATGTCAGTATGTGCCACTTGTGTTTGAGCCGTGCATGACACACACTTGCAGCAAAGGACAACCCAACAACTCATACTACTCTTCTTTGGAGTTCAAATTTGGATGAGGGTGATTCCCATTAATCCACTGCCTGGCAGAAAGACTGATCTTCTGTCTCTTCCCAGCCCTGGCCATCTGTCATGTCTGGGAGAGGCATTCTGATTTATTGATCAGTCCTCCTCTTCTTGGCTGCTTTTCCAGCTGACTAATACCAATCTTTTAAAAAGTCCTCCGAGAAGGGATGACATCAGGCCGAGGGCTCAGCCTCACCAGAAGAGGTTAAAATTAGCTTCTGCAGGCGACACACTGGGAACTAAATATGGATATTGGTTGTTCTCGCTTTGGCAGCAATGCCGCCTGCGTTTTGGAGCATGCAAAAAGCGTGACTGAAAATCGCTGGGAGCGAGACAAGCCTTTCGGGGCTGTTATTGGTGGATCCCAAAGCAAAATTAACACCGTTGCGTGGCAGAGTGGCTTGAGAGTTGCCCTTCCCAGGAGGCTCAGGCAAAAGGATACCGCTGCAGCCTCACATAACCTGTGTGTCCTTTCTCATTTATAACTTTTTGACATCTTGACCACATTGTTGTTGTTTGGACAGATGCGTCCAGTTTTTCATCTGAAATGTCGGAGACTATGAGGACAATGCCGACAGTCAGAATCGTACAACTCTGGAGACCAGGGTTCGATTCCCAGTTCGTCCGTGAAACCCACTGGGTGACCTTGGGCAAGGCACACACTCTCAGCCTCAATGGCAATGGCAAACCTCCTCTGAACAAATCTTGCCAAGAAAACCCCATGATAGGTTTGCCTTAGAGTCACCATAAGTCAGAAATGACTTGAAGGCACACAACAACAACAACAATGCATCACTCTGACCTGTATCCTTTGATAAAGGTTGTATACGAATCTCACTATCATCATTGTCATCATGGCTTCCAACATTTCAGATGAAAGCTTGGACACCAAACAACAACAGAGTGCTGTCAAGATGAAAAAAGTTATGAATGAGAAAGGACACACAAGTTATGAGAGGCTGCAGCAGTTTGCTTTTGCCTGAGTCTCCTGGGAAGGGCAAGATCCCACTCCTTCCTCTCTTCTTTCCCCATTGTTGTGTTAGTGGGATGCAAGCTACTTTTCCATTCTGAACTCAGATTGCAGCAATTGAAGTAAGGTGAGGTATATGTCATGTGCCTTCAAGTCATTTCCAACTTGTGGTGATCCCTATCCTGGGGTTTTCTTGGCAAGATTTGTTCAGAGGAAGTTGTCTTCCCCTGAGGCTGAGAGTGTGTGACTTGCCCAAGGTCACCAAATGGGTTTCATGGCCAAGCAGGGAATCGAACCCTGGTCTCCAGAGTTGTCATCCAACACTCAAACCACAGTGGTTGCCATAAGTCAGAAGTGACTTGAAGTCACACAACCCACTTGGTGTGTTACCTGGTTGCACAGCAAGCAACACCTGCTGGAATTTCTATGCAAGCGTTAAAGGCCTCTCCAGCTTTCAATCTGGCAACCTGAAAACTGTTCTTTCTTTTCCTTATAATTGTATTTGTACTGCCAGGGACAAGGTGAGGCACTTGTGGGACTGTCTGCCAAAATAATTTGGCTTGTTTTAGACACAACACACCTTGGGAAGGTGGTGGGACACCATTTGCCTTAGGCAGCAAACCTCCTAGGCAGGCCCCATAGGGACTTTTCTCCTTGCAGGCTGCTACCACACTGTAGAATTAATGCAGTTTGATGCTGCTTTAGATATCATGGCTCCATCTGATGGAATCCTGGGATCTGCAATTTGTTGTGGCAGCAGAGCTCTCTGACAAGGAAGGTTAAATATCTAGCAAAACTGCAAATCCCAGAACTCCGTAACACTAAGCCACGGCACTTAAAGCAGTGTCAAACTGCATTAGCTCTGCAATGTAGATGCAGCCCTAGTTTTTGAAAAAGACTGGGAGAAAAACAAAGTGACAGAAGAACATGGGGCAATAGTATTTAACTCCCATCATCCACATATCACTCCCCTCTCATTTAGTTATGAGACAAATATCCTATTTAAACAGGGCTACCCTCATACAATCTGGTTTGCTTCTAATAACAGAAGAGCAGAATGGACTAAAAGCAGTGTGGTGTAGTGGTCTGAGTGTTGGACTAAGACCTGGGAAACCAGGGTTCGAATCCCCACTCAGCCATGGAAACCCACTGGGTGACCTTAGGCAAGTCACGCTCTCTCAGCCTCAGAGGAAGGCAAGGGCCAACAAGATTTCTTCAGTCTTGTCAGGAAAGCACTTGGACAGGGTTGATATACGCCAGCGCTGACCTGAAGTCACATTAACAACAAAGACATGGCAGGAACTGCAGATGTGATCAGGTGTTACAGGTAAAAGGGCTCTGGTTTCCTCTTTGAAAGGCTAGGAGATTAAGGGACAAAATGTTTCCCAAAGAACATGGTTGCTGAGAATGGTGGACCAGAAAAACTAAAAGCAAAGGCAATCATCCTGGCCTAGAAGTAGTTGGGCAGCAATAAAAGCAGATTTTGGATGCTAGGCAAACATCCAGATCTATCTTCATTCTTTATTTTATTCACAGCCTAGGGATTGACATAACCTGTTTATAATCTTTCTTCATTGTCCCATCAATTTGGGCTTTTTTTCTTCACACAAACACACACCCACCCATCAAAATGAAGTATCCACCCTTCTGACTGCTAGGGCTAGGAGCTGTCCATTGGAAGCAGTTGATGCCTCTAGAGAGCATTTCAGACCAAATAAAAATTCAGAACGACTGAAACAGAGACCCTTCCCAAGAGCTCAGCTTCTCTTCCTTCCATCAAGAGGAACAATATTAGCTTTGCAAGAGATCAGCTGCACAGAAAGGAAGATTACAGCTTTGTAAACAGAGCAGGAAAGAACTGGGGTACATTGTGCCTTGGCACATGGCGACATAACATGTCACAGTGTTCCTCGTCTTCTGCATTTTAAAATGTGAGTGCCAGTGTGGCGGAGTGGTTTGAGCATTGGACTACAACTCTGGAGACCAGGGTTCAAATCCCTGCTTGGCTGTGGAAACCCACTGGGTGACTTTGGGCAAGGCACTCTGTCTCTACCTCAGAGGGAGGCAAAGACAAATCCCACTCTAAACAAATCTTGCTAAGAAAAGCCTGTCAAGCCTTAGGGTCAACATAAGTTGGAAATGACTTGAAAGCATACAACAACAACAAACACTACATCTGAAGAAGTAGACTTTTGTCTAGGAAAGTCCATGCTGCCAACTTCTTTCTTTCAATTAGTTTCAAAGGTGCTGCAAGATCTCTCTACATACTGATCCTACAGACTAACACGGCTATATCTTTGAATATCATGTTCACCGGTTTTGCATTCAGCAGGAGTCTATGCATTTCTGGATATATAAAATAAAAAGGTACAGTACTCAGCTTTGTCCCAACTGGAAAATCTTTTTCACAGAAATTAAACAACCTTGCCATTGGTAGACCAGCTGCAACCTGTGGCAGAGAAACTTCCCTAGATTAATTTTTCATTGGGAAAGAAGGACTCTCTCTTTTGTTTTTCTGCCTTGAATTTACTCTCAGGTCAATTTCTGGGGATAAATCTATGTGCAGGAACTGTGCAACATCCAAAATCCAGACTCTAAAGAATTTTGTTTAATGAAGGACGGGTTCAGGGCTAACCAAAAAACCTCAATGCCGCCTGTTGTGGAAAAACAAATGACCACAAGACGTTCTACCTGGTGAATATCTGCCTGCCACATAGATGTTCAAATTTACTGTGCACAAAAAAATAATGCCAAGGTGACCAGGACTGTTGGGGAAAGGAATACAATATGTTTCTAGTTTCTGTGCTGACATATTTGTAGTTCAAAGCACAAACTGCCACCCCTTTTTACAAGATTATCATAACTTCTTAAGTAAGATGCTCATTTGTTGAGTGTTTGTGGTGTTGGAAAGAGCAAGGGAATGTGCTTGCCAAAACCTCAGCTCTACTGCTAAGAAGTGGCCAGTTAGGCTCTTACTGTCAGAACCCAAACCAAAAAAGAGGGTTTATATCCTTGCAAAGCAGTTTTGGGCTACTTGAGAGAACCACCAAAGCTATGGAGATCTTGTAGCACGTTTGAGACTAACTGAAATAAAGAAGTTGGCAGCATGAGCTTTCATAGACTGAAGTTTAGGAAAGCTTGTGCTGCCAACTTTATTTCAGTTAGTCTCAAAGCTGCTACAATCTCTCTCTACATATTGATTCTACAGACTAACATATCTTTGGCTATATATCTTTGAATTCTACCACCAAAGCAATAAATCTCTGTGGATTTCATGATCCAAACTGGAATTTACAAATTACATGATATCAAGCAGTCGCACAAAACCTCGAGAAAAGAATGTAGGTATCACTGACCGAGCATAAATACAAGAATACACTCATATTTGGGGATGTCGAAATTAGTAAATATGTAACTAAAATAAATACAACCAAGGCACATTTGCTTTGCCTGGCTCATTTCCAGGCATCTTTGAAAGAGTGGGACAATCTCTCCTGTTAAAAAATAAAATAAAATAAACCAGATGTGCCTTCTTCTATGGGACTTTTGTGGCAAACAGAGTGCAGAAAGCCAAAACTCTTCGCTTCAGGGTTCCAAACCTTGTGGGATTACAAGTTGCCAAAGAAAACTAACCTTCACAGCAAGTATTTATCCCCCTCCTTAAAAAAAAAAAATCGTAGTTTTCAAAGTCCAAATATTTAAACACACCACATGGACACAGACACACATACTTTTGACATTTCAGGTGTGCTGGGATTTTTTATGAATTAATGACATATCAGCAACAGAGCAAAGGTCAGGAAAGATTAAAAAGAGGCACATATCCTATTTAAGATCAGTGTTCCCCCTCCCCATAGTTTTTTTAGGAAGAACAAAAATCAATTCCACCTCTGTGCTTCAACCCTTGTCCCATATCAAATTCATGTTCCTGTTGCTGTTTTCAAAGCAGCCTTTTAAAATATATATATCAAAAAAGCTAAATAGTTAAAAAGACATACCGTATATTGAAAATCAACTCACATTCCTTTCAATTCACATGACAAACTATCTACAAACATCACAAACACACACACACACAAACAAAAATCCATACTTCATTTGTAGCTCCCTTTTCTATAGCCTTAGCAGTATGTTCAGGATCTTCAAAAGATTTTTAAACCATATTAGTTCCCCAATTGCTGGTGCAATGCTATTTCTACATTTCAATATCTATTTTATATCTATATATGCAACTATTATTTACATGGGCCTGCTTTATGCATCAATTCCTGTAATATTCCCCCCCTCCCTATATATATATCATATTTAAAACACTGCAACATTTTGCTTATGACAATAATGTTCATACATTTTTAATGACTTCTTTTTTCCTTAATTTAATTCTATCCCATCTATGGAAATAGACCGGTTTATGGAAGCACATGCTGCCAACTTCTTTATTTTGGTTAGTCTCAAAGGTGCGACAAGATCTCTCTATACATAGTTGTGGACAATGCAGCCTTTTAAGAAACAGGAGCTTCTGGAGACAAGTGGGATTTTATGAGAACATGGATCACAAACAAGGGTCTCTGTCAGTCTTTTCACCCAACCCAAAATACTCAACACACGTGTGCCAACTTCAGATACCGAAAAGATCTGTCTTTTTTGCTCATTCCCTGAGTTACCTTACCGGAGACGTGTCCCACCGAAGAGGAGCTGCAAGATCAGGGACCACCAGGAGCAACCACAGGACACAGGCCATGGTGCGGACAGATCAAGGGACAGATCCCCTTGCAGATGAAGGTGAGGTCCCTGGCAGAGAGGGGCAAGAGACACAGCTGGGTTGCTGCATATATAGGTTTATGAAGCCACACTGCTTCCAGCCCTCCCCTTCTCCCTTCTCTCCACATGTCATTGCACTTTTCCCTAAGGTGGTCCAAACCACGTGGACCAACAACAGCTGGGGAGGAATCCACGCCTTCCTCCTCAACCTCCTCCCTCCTTCCCAAATCTCGCAGGAGGAATGCTTCTCAGAAGGGAGCCCAGAGAGGTTTGGTCGGTCAAAGGACTTCTTCTCTTCAGAGCCAAGCCACAGCCCTGCAAAGCGTGAAAGAAGAGGGTGTCAAGTTAATCAATCAATCCATCAAATCATTTTATTGCAGTCAATAACCATATTCAAATACCAGGTTCCCAAATCTGTATGAATACATAAAATACATGCATACTATGAACAGTAATAAGACACATGCACCTACGGACGCCAATAAAATATAAATGTAATATAAGTGATAAGGAATACGGAATATAGACATAAAATATAACTGCAGACACAAATACAGAACTTCCATGCTCTGATTCTAGGTATACAGGATTGGTATCTCTCAGTCTGTGGATTACTGACTAGAGAAGTCCATACCTTTCTAATGTCCCTTTTTGGCAGTCTTGAATAATCCTCTGTCCTCCCACTTTTTCAACTGCTTTTAAAATGTCCCAGTTTCTTCTGATATTGATACATCCAGAGAAGGGCAACCAAAATGGTGAAAGGCCTGGAGACCATGCTCTGTGAGGAGCGGATTTGGGTATATTCAGTCTGGAGGAGAAGTTAAGAGATGACATGATAGCCCTGTTAAAACACTTGAAGGGATGTCAAATTGAGGATGGAGCAAGCTTGTTTTCTGCTGCTCCAGAGACTAGGGCATGAAGCAATGGATGCAAACTATAGGAAAAAGATATTTCACCTCAACATTAGGAGGAACTTCTTGATGGGAAGAGCTGTTCAACAGTGGAAGACACTGTCTCAGAGTGTGGTGGAGTTTCCTTCTTTGGAGGTTTTTAGACAAAGGCTGAATGGCCATCTGTTGGGAGGGCTTTGATTGTGTATTCTTGCACAGCAGGGGGTCAGACTGGATGGCCCTTGGGGTCCTTCCAATTCTATGATCCTATGACTCTCATTCTCCCATTCCCTCCCTTTTTCATCAGCTGAATTCAGTTGCTGCAAACTGAGCTCAAAGTACACAAGTACTGTACTGTCTTTGTAGGCTACAGCTCCCAGAATTCCTTGGCCAGAGTATCATATTGGCTGGGGGTATTGTAAGTTTAAGATCCACAAAGTATATTTTCCAAGCTCCGCTCCTTACGTATTGCAGTTGAGACAGGTTATGATTGTCAGGATTGGGCCCTTTTTGCCATGACAGCCGGAGTCCGGAATTCGCCCTCAGGGCCTCTGTCTGCACTCCAGCCAAAAACAAGTCTCAAAGACTTAATATGCCACCATCACTTACAAAAGGGCCCATTGCGCTGCAAAGTAGCCAGGAAAAGTGTGTTTGTGTGCGAGGTCCAGCACTGCCATGACACAGATTTGACCAACAAGAACTACTGAGAAAAGCACAGGAGTTAACACACAAAAAAGATAGGCTTTGCAGGTCCACTTGACTACCTGATGGAAAGCAAACAGGGTTATTGTGGCTCAGCCACTTTCTCCGACTGAGGCTGAGAGATTACAGCCTCCGTTTGTTGTTGTTGTGGCCCTTCATTTCTGACTTATGGCGATCCGAAGATGACCCTATCATGGGGTTTTCTTGGCAAGATTTGTTCAAAGGAGGTTTGCCATTGCCTTCCCCTGAGGTTGAGAGCATGTGACTTGCCCAAGCTCACTCTGTGGGTTTCTATGACTGAGTTGGGAATCGAACCCTGGTCTCTAAAGTCATGTCAAACCATTATGTTAAATACTGATGGAATTATAGTCCTAACAAGGGCAGGCTGCCTTCAAAACCAAGCACAAAGTGGCTTGACATCTTTCTGTGCTACTTCCCAAGCCAGTTTCCCCTACAGCTCCATTAGCAGTACAGTGGCCCTTGGTATTTGTTGGGGTTTGGTTCCAGGACCCCTCATGGATACCAAAATCTGTGGATGCTCAAGTCCCACTATATACAGTGCTGTAGGAAAATGGTGTCCCTTACATAAAATGACAAAATCAAGGTTTGCTTTTTGGAATTTAAAGATATATTTTCAAGCTGCGGTGGTTGAATC